CGACGAGCGCGCGCCCCCTGGCTCGTCCGCGCAGAGCAGTACAGACGAGGTGAAGCCCCCGGGACGCCAGTCAGTGCGCGCTAGGCTGGGGAGCTGGCTGGTTGGGCAGGAGCTCTTAGTCAGAATATGGACGTTAACACCAGCGGTCCTCCGGACCTCTTGGGGCACTTTGAGTCTTTACTCCGACCCGAAGGGGGACAAGGGCTATCAGATCTGATGCCCGACGGTGGCACCGAGCCTCCCTCCAGCTCCTGGTCCCCGCAACTGATGCACGATTCAACCGAAGTGGCGACGACGTCCAGCCCGACGTCCACCTGGGACGGGGCTACGGACAATGCCTCGGGCTGCGTGGTGGAACAGGTCAACTTCGGCCAAGCCGAGAAAGTTCTGATCGGTTCGGTCCTGACGCTGATCACCCTGCTGACCATCGCCGGCAACTGCCTGGTGGTCATCTCGGTGTGCTTCGTCAAGAAGCTCCGCCAGCCCTCCAACTACCTGATCGTGTCCCTGGCTCTGGCCGACCTCTCGGTCGCCTTGGCCGTCATGCCGTTTGTTAGTATCACCGACCTCATAGGGGGAAAGTGGATCTTTGGCCACTTCTTCTGCAATGTCTTCATCGCCATGGACGTGATGTGCTGCACTGCCTCGATCATGACTCTGTGCGTGATCAGCATCGACAGGTAAGGACCGGGCCGCCCCGTCCCGGGGTCGGGCTGGAGATGTGCGGGCTGCTCAGCCCGGCGCGCTCGCCTTGCCCGGGAGTCTCACGCCAGCCCTTCGCCGGCAGGTTGAAGGGCTGCGCGGAAAACATCAGCCCCGACCCCCTTCCCGACCCCAGCTAACTTCAGGGACCGCGTAGCCTCGAAACTGGGGCGCTCCCAATGTGCCGATTGACTGTAGTGGGGATTGGAAGACCAAAGTTAGAGTGTTTTAGCCTTAGCAGATCCAGCAGGGGGTTCCTTGGCTTATTTTTCGTAAGGAAAGGATGTGATACTCTCTCGGCTTGCTGGGAGCCTGAAAGAGTCTTTTTCTTTTTTTCTTCCCCCTTACTTTAGGAAATGAGACGGGAAAGCCACTTTGCGTTTCCAATTGTAGGGCTCATCCTTCCTCAAGCCAAGGAAAAGAGCTAGGGATGGAGCGCGAATTGGGGTGAGGGTGGGTGGGGTGGGTGGATATGTCTTAAACGCTTAATTCTTAGCATTGCCAATTCCTAATCTCATTCTTTCAAAAGTTTGGTTTTGGGGGCTTGGCAATGCCGTTCGTATCCTACAGAATAGAATCTTTCTCAATGTCTGAATGGTTGGATCGTAGCCTTTCATATTTTTTTCGGGAACCTTCTCTTGAAAACTCCCCCACTGGGGTAACTGAAAGAGAGGCTGGCCATTTCTCAGAGATGGCTGGGGGAAAAAATCCCTGCCTGGTCAGATAGGAGTAGGAGCACCACCACCCCCGCCCCCATTGCTTCAGATTCTAGGATTACAGACATCTGCAGTGGAGCTAGTCTTCGGCCCTAGAGATATTTGTGCCATGGACCACTTGAAGTCTGGTCCTGATGCGCTTTTGGCCACAGGATGACTTTTCACTGCTTCCCTTATAATGGAAATATGAAGCCTAATGGTCACACTCAGGATTCTGCAGGTGTTTTTAAAAGCCTCTTTTCTCACAGGACGGATTGTATTTAATGACACAGAGAAAGGGTTGCTTATTTTCTCAGCGGACCTACAGACTCTTTAAATGTGTTGACCTGCCAATATAGGAGAAAAAATTGGTGCCCCCACACTTAAAAATTAGTTTTCCTCACAGGATGATGGTCTAGCACAAAAAAATGAGGGTTTTTCCTCCTCTTCATAAACATGGCTATTTGTGATGTATTGATATCTAACATGTTCTTTCATTTTACAGCTTGACCATGGGTTATAAGTACTAAGTAAGGGGAAATGAAGGAAAGGGGCCATTTTTCTAGAGGGGAGGGGGCGATAGGAGGAGGAGGGGAGCAGGGAGGGAGAAGAAGGAGAGGGAGGAGGAGG